GCGCCGGAGCCGGGCGGAGCCGCCCAGGGCACCCGCTCGGGGCGCTGCTGGAGCGGGCAGCTGCTCATCGGCCACGACGGGAAACTGCTGAGGCGCTCAGCGGCCATGGAAAAGGGTGAGTGGCCCCCTCCGTGGGCCGGAGTCCTGTGCTGCCCCGTGCCGTTGGGTGAGCGAGGCCTGCAGGCCCAGGGAGAGGCCATGTGGCTCTCTCTGTAGTCCTGTTTAAGAAGTTCTTAACAGTCCAGAAACTGTCGCTACAATGGTATGTGCATGATTTGTGTGGTAATTTAATAGTCTTCTTAATGGGGGGGGGGGGGAACAAAGCTGTAAGCGGGGAGCCCTGTGCTGTTGTCTGCAAACATGTTCTTCAAATTGCTATTCCCTGTAGCTATAGTACTGAGAGGAGGTACCGTGCTCTTGTTAGTCTTATAGAACTTTTAGGTACTTTTTTCAACTTCTCTGTTTTGCTTTGAAGAGCATCTGCTCTTAATTGCATCTTTTCCAAGCAGTTCCACCAGTGGGAGTGTCCAAAGCCTGTTCCTCGTGTGTAAGAACAGCTGATGTCAAGGAAGCATGTACACAGTGCGACCAGTTTGTATGCCAGAACTGCAGCAGGCTCTGCAGCTCCTGTAACGCAGTTACCTGTTCTTTGTGCTCGATTATTGAGTAAGTGTGTAATGAACTTCTTGATTTTTTTTTTATTATTATTATTATATATGCCCTGAAAATTGGCTTTAGCGTATGAGGACCCAACAGATCTCGTCTAGCTCATCCACCTAATGAATTTAAATATGTCTCATATTGAATTAGCTGTAGTAAAGCTATCTGAAACATGGAAAATAAAATGCCTGTGTGAAGCAGTCTGATCAATCTTAGTGCAAGTCTAGTTCAGTTTCTGACTTAAATGTTCTAGGAGACAAAAAATTCTTGCTTTCCTTCTAGCAATATAGTATGCTGGCTGATGAATGAATGCACTTCCATGAAGTAATTTTGAAGATTTTTTTTTTGGCCGTTATCATTAAGAGCTCTATAATATCAAGTTATGAGTGTTGTGTAGGAGTCCTGTGGTTGCAGTTAATAGTGGAAAAGGAGAACATCCTTTGTTATGATCCAGAAGCACTAGACACTACTGACTTTGTTTTTTGGTCTTTTTTTTCTCCTAGTTATGGTGATGTTGGTGAACAAGTTCTCTGCAATGGTTGTTCAATATTTCAGGTCTGAAACATGAAATTTATGGACATCTTAGCCATAAAGAACGTTTCATCAAGTCTCCTCTTTATGGTTGATCAATTCATACTTTTAGCATGTGAAATAATAATGGAATTTCTGTGTTTTATATCTTTTTATGTACTTTTTAATATTGTAGCTAAATAAACTTTTATATTTTAAGGATTTATAGATCTTTTTCAGTCAGTTTTCTGGTATGTGATATGTCTGTGTGGAGAGTGGTCCCCTTGTTTTTGGCTGGTATTCCGTATTGTTATAGAATTCAGAACATCCATTCAGTGTCTGTCTACTTGTTGCGCATGTCATGACACTCTTTTTGTGGGTTAGAACAGAAACCAGGAGTTCCTGTTGTGCTTTCATGTAAGTGTGGATCTTCTCTGGACACATAGCCTTTTATTAGTGAGCTAACTCGGACAGTTGGCCAAGCCTAAAAGTTTTCTTTCAAACAGAGAATTTGATGATTCCTATTTTAACTTCTATAAACTTTCACAAACATCCTATGGTAACTGGCAGCTTGAACGTTTTGATTGTTCTTTCCATAATAACTTAGATGTAGAAAGAGCACTGATGCATCAGTCTTTGAGCAAAAAAGGTTTATTCAACAGTTAAGTGTCAAAGATAAATTTTGCTGTACACTCCTTGCAAGATCTCTTTCTTAAAAAGAAGCTTATTTGTATAACTTTGTATTTTCCTGAGTACCCACTCAAAAGTAGCTCATGAGGTGGTCCGAAAAATGGTCAGCACCTTTGCTCAAAAACATATCTCCGTAAACCAACTCAGTCCTCGATGTCCCTTCACATCTTGTTGCAAAGATCAATTGGTTAGTATTTTTCATCCTGTAGGAATAGGAGTGAGACTATCGTTTATGTGCCACTGGCAAGCCCCTGAAAATAATTTTCATTTGCTACTTAACTGTGGTTTTTTTGTTTGTTTTTTAGTAGTTTTTACCTTAGGAAAGTAATGACTTAAGTAGCTAACTTTAAAGTGTAGAAAAAAGGTTTGGGGGAGGGGAGATGTGTATATGTGTGTATAATGGCGCTCATAGCTAAAGCTCTATTTCCAATATTCTCTGAACTGAATTCCCAAAGCAAGCTCTACTGCTCGTGCTTCTCAAGTGAAATTATTATATTTTGTATGAAATAACTTATTCTTAACCTTCACTCTTTAAATTTGCAGAAATTACCTGTTTAGAGGAACAGCTCTTGTAATGCTAGCTGAGTTGAGAGACTTAATTCTCACTTGTAGGAATGCATCTTAATCCTTCCTATTTAACAAGCTGCTGCAAGCATACTGCATATTTTCAGAATTTCAGAATAAGTGCTGCAACTGACTGAACAGCATAGTAATGCTTTAACAAAGAGTGAGATGATACCCATTGCAGAATAGCAACACTTCATAGTTGCACATTGCTTGGCTTTGGATGTATGGGGCACAGTTAGGTGCAGGATGACACGATTTAAGGATACCTTGGGAAACAATCTAGAGATACTTTAAAAGTGTTTGTGCCCTTTAGGGTATCCTAGGTTAGTTGCCTTTCTATTGAGTCCGCCTTTTGTATGCCATCATAGCCTACCTCTGCTTTGTTTCCCTATTTTGCTTACTTTGTAGCCGGTTAGAAGAGGAGAGCTTGCTACTACTTATTGCAGTAGATGGAAGACTTGATTTTGAGCAGTTGTGAAATATATCTTGTCCCCACCCCCAAAACAAACAAACAGAACATCTACCTAGGAAGTTTTGAATAAGTAAATCGGGCAAGCTAGCAGTCGAAATTACTACACACACTAACAATTTAAGTATTGACTATGTTTTCAAAACTACAATAGATTAAGACAGGATGATGGCATAACCCAGTTATCTGGTATCATGAGGCAGATAAAAACATTGTTTCTATGGTAAGCAGCTTAAAACATAAAGCTGAGCTATTTGTGAATGGGAAGTATCCCTAGGTTACTGTGTTTTAAATATTACTTTAGGAGTAAGTTTTAAAGCTTATTTGTGTTACAATTGAAGCCCTGAGTAATGAATGGAAATGTCTTTCAGTTAGGTTTATTTTGCAAACTGAAACCTTTAAGTATGTATCTGCTTTTCCTCATTCTCCCCTGAGGGTGAGAAACTGAAAATACTGTTTTGCTTCCAGGCTCCTGGAGAGAGGAGGCAGGTTGTTTACAAATGACTTGCGTTTCAAAGTAGTTGATAGATACATTTTTGGCTCCTTTAGACAACACTGTACTTCATAGAAAGCTATGCTTTGTAAACAATGATATGGGTTTCTTGGCTTAAGTTTCTTGTTTATTACCCTCTAGCCAGCCCCTTTAAAATAGACTCGCTCATTAGAGCAGACACCTTTTGAAAAAAATAAAGAATTGGAAGAAATACATGAGGGGGAATCAGGAGGGGAAAGGTTAGAGGCTGGAATGGGTAGAGCAGGAAAATCGCAGAATAGTACAGGAAACTTTTGCATTGGGAAGGTGCGTCATACACATAAGAAATGTCTTTTTCTCTTTTTTCATGGTTACCAACATTTTTGTGTCTCTGAATTCGGAAGATCAGAAGACTTTTTTTTCCTCATTATTCAGGAAAGCTCCTGCTCTAGTTCTGTAGTTCTTAGATCAATAGTGAGAGGTAGGAAATGGGACTGTTTTTAAACCTTCTTATGTTGCCTGCAGAAAAACTTGCAAAAGAGAAGACTCTTCAGGTGAGAGATCCAAAGCCTTTTCTCTCTGTCCTGCCAACTCCTACTCACAAGGCCCTGTCCATTGTCACTGGTCCTGAGCTGTGCACTGTGTACTCTTAGGACTACAAATTGGAGCTAGAGAAGTTGTCTGTTTTATTAAATAAGCAGATTTTTTTTGTTGTTGTGCTTTGTACTATTGTTTATTAATATATATTTTTCCCCTCCCCTTTAGTGCAAGGCATCAGAAAATCAAAGTTTGGATGGGCTTTGGAGGGAAGCTCCGAGGAGCTAGGATATTGGTGGGTGAATATAACCTACAGTAATGATTTTGCAGATGGATAACAAACCTCTTCAGAGGCCTACTGAAATTACAGGTGAAATAAATCTCAAAGACCACAATTTTTTGTCTACAAAGAAAGCAAGCTGATCTGATCAGGATAAAACAGTTTCCTCTAAGCCTGATATGTCAGTGAATATTAGAAATGCATGACTATGCCACCTTAGAATATGGAATCTCTAAATTACTTCAGTAGTCTCTCTGGTGTCTACAATCTGCATTAGAACAAAAACACCCATTACGAAAGACTTTACTGAGAAGATTACATAAATTTGAGAAACTTCCTTTAACAGCATGTATCTGTGGCGTACATCCCTCATAGCAGTGCTGTGATCATGATGGGCAGAACAAATTTGGTGGGTATGCAGATAACCTCAGTCCTCTGCAAACAGTAAGCAATTCTTGTATGTTAATCGGAGCAGATCAACAGCCTGTTTCTTTTCCAAGAAAAAAGATGATTTCAACAGCTGGTTTAGACTTTTTTTTTTTTTAAAGGATGTCTTATACCAAGACTTACAAATCTGACCAGTGCCCTTGTGTGCTTAGTACCTCTTTTATTTAATACAGCCAACACCTAACTGTGAGAAGCCTCTTCCCCTTCTTTGGCTGTGAATCAGGGTCCAAATGGGTAGGAGGCTGAAACGAATTTATGATCTTTCTTTTCTTTCTGGGCAGATGATAACTAGATGCAGCTGGATTTTATTTCAGGTTAGGGCATAAAATCTAAGTTATTTAGATGTAAGTGAAGGAGGATGCCTTTTTTTCTTTATGAATATGGATAAGACATTTTTGCTTGATCTGTGCCATGAGATGCTAAGAAATGGCAGAAATCTAGGCGTATGTTTTAAATGCTCTGAATCTTTTCTGAAGGTATGCAGCTGAAAAGTAGAAATGGAAACAGTATCGTTGTCCCCAGTTTCTCAGTTCTGATTCTTTTGAAACCTCTAGCCTCTAAGTGGACTGGTATGACAATAGCAAATGCCAGCACTATGCAAATAATACATACTTCTCCCTTTTACCACACAGCCATGTAGCGTGATTGTTGTGTGTGTTGACAAGATCAGAATGTGGATAAAAATTGAATCCTAGCAAAACTTAATTGATGTTAAACTCCCACCTACACTATATGTGTACAAGCCTACATATACTGCTCCATTGTGATTTCTGGTCAGTTATAATATTGTTTCATCGTGACAGATGATGTTTTCTCTTAGTTATTTGTACTTTCGTTACCTTTCAGCAAGATTCCCGTAGTGTGGAGTACCTAGGCATGAAGTCCTCGGTGCTTAGGAAACTCCAGGTAATACAGAGAATCACAGCATGTGTCCATAGATTATTCTGTGTACATCAAGCCTGTCCTCTGTTCTGTACAGTGGTTTCCCATAGATTGTCAGGCTAAGCTTATATCCCAACCTATTGTAGAAATAGGCTTGTCCTTCCAGTGAAAAAAAACTCCGAAATCATCCAGCGGAAGCACCCTGCCAGAGGACAGAACAAAACTGCTGCAGCAGTGCGAAGATCATATAACCAAATTTTGTAGCATAACTTTGAGAATTACTTGTTTGTAGATGTTAAATGTGTCCTCCATGATATGAAATTAGTGGATTGATGGCAGATTCTTTCACGAGATCATCCTTTCTCCTGTAGGTTTTGTATGAGAACAGATAAGACTAGGAAAAAAATGCCTGTTCCCTGATGTTTGGTTTCCTTATGCTTTTTTCCCCCACTTTCTTTAGGGTTTTTGATTACTGACACTTACAGAGAAGGTAGCAAAGCTTTGAACATCGTGTTATTGTTCATATTAAAGAAATATTAAAAGTAGCCAAGAGTTCAGAAAATATTCGTGTTTCTTTAGAAAATAAATAGAAGCTATATAATTTTAAGACCAACACTGCTCGTGGATGGATAATTGGAAGATAATTAATCTAAATGTTACTTTCTATTTTATATTAATAAAACTGCAATAGAGAAAGGCTGAAAGTTACCAGATATTCTCTGTATATTTTATAATATTTTAATGACTATTAGTTATGTACATAACTACATAACTTTTCTATACTTTTTCATTTTGTATAAACATTTTATTTCCAAAGATGCTCAAATGTCATACTTATGGTAAACTTGCATTTTGACCTGCTACCATTAAAATATTAC